CTTCCTGTTCTTGCTCAGGACCTGGGTTTGGTTCCCAGTACCTACATGGTGGTTCACAACTGTCTGTAACTCCACTTCCAGATGATCCAGTGACCTCTTCTGACCTCTGTGGGCACCAGGCATGTATGTAATACACATACATGCAGGCAAAATACATAAAATGTTTAAAAAGAAATAAGAAAAAAGTGAGGTCTAGTTCTAACCCCTGTGGGAAAGAGGGTGCCTTGGCACCTTTCTTGTGTCTGACTCAATAAAGATGATAATGACTGCAGAGAGAGACATAAAGCACAGGTCAAAACAGAATTACTATCTGTGAATATGCCAAGACTTTGTTTTGTGAACACTGAAAAATTGGAACCACTCAAAAATGGAGACCTGTTTTTCTTCCTTTTTACTGCCCTAAAGCTTGTGTCTGTTGGAGAAAGTAGGTCTGCGAAGCATTATTTTTGCCTCTCCTTCCTGTCCTCTTATTTACCAGCTGTCTCAGCTCAGAACCTCTAGGAAGAGGGTTACACTTCAGCAGAATGTGTTTCCTGTGACATTTCAGCAAGCCTCCATTTTGTCTTCCATGTTAGAAGTGTTCCTCGTCCCTCTCCACGGCCAGCTCTCTTGACTTGTCCCCCTTCCGTTTATTCAGGACTGCTAAGTTTGCCGAGTATAACAGAGGAAGAAGTCATATTTATAAACGTGCTCCACCCAGCTGTTTGAAGAATAGAAACAGCATCCATCTACTTGTGTCTTTTCTCAGTGCAGCTGTGCTCATCCACCTCTATAAGTGTGTCTCCTATCTCTGACCTGTTTTGTTGGTGGTGGTAGTTGGTTTTGTTTTGTTTTTTTGGGGGACAGGGTCTCCCTATGTAGCACTAGATGTCCTGGAACTCAGAGATCTGCCTGCCTCTGCCTCTGCTGGGACTAAAGGTGTGCACCATCATGCCAGGCACTATTCTTGTTTAAACTAAGCAGAGCAACCTATCACTAAGGGGAGACATCCAATTGACTCACGCTGCTAATACAGAAAATTTAGCTCACTTACTTTCTTAGAAAATGGTCTGTTTTCATAAGAAGCCAGGGTCTTGGAAAAGCATAGAAGTCCTATCCTCCCTTCCCTTTGGATATCTACCCCCTTGCAGACTTACATGTCATTCATCATAGGTGAGAGGGGAGGCAAATGGGTAGTCTTAAGAAAATAGTGTGAGAAGAATAAGAATCCATTAGAGATAGCTGTGTCATTCCTAGAATCCAAAAAATGTGACTTCTGCTAGTGACTTTCACTAAATTATTTACCCTTTCTGGCTGGGTGGTGGTGGTACATGCCTATAATCCAGCACTCGGGAGGCAGAGACAGAGACAGAACTAATCATTTCTGTTAGTTTGAGGCCAGCCTGGTCTACAGAGAGTGTTCCAGGACAGCCAGGGCTACACAGAGACCTTTCTTGGATGGGGGAAATTATTTACCCTCTTTGGACTTTGATTCTGATCTCCTTTCTGTTGTTGTTTTGCTGCAGGCAGTGTCTCCTCCAGTGGAGAGTGACCTTGACCTTTTTCCCTTACTGTATTTATTACTGTGTGCATGCATGTGCTGCAGCACACATGTGGAAGTCAGAGCACTATTTGAACAAGTTGGCTTTTCTCCTTCTACCATGTGGGTCCCAGGGCATGAGCTCAGATTCTCAGGCTTGACAGCAAGTGCCTTTACGCACTTAGCCATCTTGTCAGCAGCCCAAATTACTACTGCTGCTGCCGCTGCTTCAGTGGGGGTGGGGGAAAGTCTCTCTACATAGCCCTGGCTGTCCTAGAACTCACAGAACTCCTCCATTCTCTGCCTCTCAAGTGCTGAGATTAAAGGCATGCACCACCACGCCCCGCTTTCTTTCTTCTTTTTTTAAATTACGTTTTTATTTATTCTGATCTCCAACATTGGATTGTAGTGGCATGTGCCTGTAATTTCTGTACTTGCAGGTAGAAAGACAGGAGGATAAATTCAAGGTTATTCTTTACTTCTTGGCTATATAATAAACAAGTATGAGTTTGTCTCAAAAACAAACAATTAACTCAGAAACCATAAGAAGTTAATAAACATAACAATCAAAAGTAAATAATTTCTACATATCATTAACTGCCACCACCAGTAAATGACCCGCCGAGGAAATAACTGACCATGTTATGGAGTCTTTACTCCGGGATATTAAAAGTTACAATTAAGAAAGAGAATAGTGGGGCTCAGTTGTTAAGAGCACGTGCTGCTCTTGCAGAGGACCTGAGTTTGGCTCCCAGCTCCTGAGTGTCACATCACACATGCCATGTAGTACTGAGGGATATGTAAATGAGCACATTCTCTCTGAAGCAATTTGGCAGTATTTTTTTAAACTCCCATTAAACACGCCCTGTGATTAGCAATTTTACTTATATTTATCTTACAGACATATGTTAAACAAAGCTGAATCATTTATTCAAAGATATATTGTGCTGTTTATTTGTAATAAGAGAAGAATGGAACAACCTAATTGTCAATGGGAGGAAATAGTGTAATTCCAGGACTCAGAGGCGGGGGTAAGACAATTGGGAATTCATGGCCAGCCTGGGTTTGATCCCTAGAACTAGTAGTGGAAAGAGAACTAGCTCCCTTGACTTATTCTGTGACCTCCAAATGCACACTCTAGCATATGCAGACACACACAAATAAATGAATGTTTTGGTTTTTTTTTTAATGAATTATCCCTCCTGTCATTGTTCATTAACCTTCAAGTTCCTTACTTAGAAACATTCAAGGATTTTCCTGCAGGATTTCTCAGTGGGTAAAGATGCCTGCCACCAAGCCTGGTGACCTGTGTTTGACCTACGTGATGATAGAATGAGAGAACTGATTGCTGCAAATTGTCCTCAGTCCTCTCCATGTACACCATGTGTACCCTCTCTCTCCAAATAAATATGTAGTGAAAAATATATACTCTTCCTTAAATGATACCACTACGTTGCACTGTTCCACACACTACTGCTACTGTCTTTCCTGTATATAATCTTTCCAGATCAGCACATGGAGTGTCTCAGTCTCCTCTCTCTCCTTCCTCTCTCTCTCTCTCTCTCTCTCTCTCTCTCTCTCTCTCTCTCTCTCTCTCTCTCCTCTCCCCCCCCCCCCCCCGCCCCCCGAAGAACTAGGAATCATATCCAGGGTTGTTTGTGCCAGGGAAGCACTGTACCACTGAGCTACATCCCTAGCTCACTTGGGCACACGTGCTCCCTCTCTTATTCGCTCTCTTTTTGTTTTTGTTTTTTTTTCAAGATAGTTTCTCTGTGTAGCCCTGGCTGTCCTGGAACTCACTCTGTAGACGAGGCTGGCCTTGAATTCCCCGATCATCCTGCTTCCACCCCACAAGTGTCACCACCATGGTGTGTTCACTACCATGCTCAAATTTCAGTGCTTAGGATTTTTAATACTCTTTGAATTTAGGAATATTGTTATGTCACATGTTCCAAAGCCCCTTTCCCCTTTTGGGGGATGGGATGGAGAGCAGGGTGTCGTGTGTCCTAGGCTACCCTTGAGCTAGCTGTGTAACTGAGGGTGACTTTGAACTGAAACTGCTCCTAAAACCATCTTCCAAGTGCTTGCTTTGGCTATAGGCTTCTGCTGCAATACCCAGCTTTATGTGGTATTAGAGACTGAGCTAGGGTATTGTGTGCTAGACAAGCACTCTGCCAAGTGAGCCACATCCCTGTCCTCCAGTTCATCTTGAATAAAATGAACAACATGTCAAGATATTTATTGTGACATCATCTAAGAGTGAGGCTGGAGAGAAAGCACAGTGGTTAAGAGAAAGAACATACTGCTCTTCTAGAGGACCCAAGTTCAGTTCCCAGCACCCAAGGCTTCATCGGGCACTTGCAGTCACGTGCACAGACACACTCATAGACACATAATTAAACATGATAAAAATTAGCCTTTGTTTGTTTGTTTGTTTTGGGTGGTTTTTGTTGTTGTTGTTGTTTTCCCCGAGACAGGGTTTCTCTGTGTAGTTTTGGTGCCTGTCCTGGAACTCACTCTGTAGACCGGGCTGGCCTCGAACTCAGAGATCTGCCTGACTCTGCCTCCCAAGTGCTGGGATTAAAGGCATTCGACACCACCGCCCGGCAAAAATTAGCCTTTTTCTTTTTTTTTTTAATGTACTGAAGTAAAAATGTACCAAACAACCTAAGCTGTACACCCCCAAAAAATGTATAAATTCTGATTAAATCATGCACTGAAATACTTGAATTTAGTTAAAATAAATACATTAAGTAAGGCATGGTGGCACATACATAGAAGCCCAGCACTCAGTAAGAAGGGGCAGAAGGATCAAGAGTTCAAAGCTATCCTTGGCTAGATAGAGTTTGAGGCTAGCCTGGACTATATAGCAAGACACTGTCTTAACAAAAACATGGGAGGGCAGAAGGTGTAGCTCAGTCAGTAGAAAGCTTGTCCAGTATGAGCAAAGCCATGAGTTCAGTTCTGAGCACTACATAAATCTAGGTGTGTGGGGACCTTCCTGTAATCCCAACACTCGGAGGTAGTGGAAGGACGCTCAGAAACTCAAGGTCATCCTCAGTTATATAGCAAATTCAAGGATAGCCTGAGATCCATGAGATCTGTTCATAAAAATAAAAACTGTCTTGATCAGGCTAGGAAATCTTTGAACTCTTGTCCATCCGTAGGCAATTCCCCTGGAACTGTTCTGCTCCTGACGCGCCACTAAACTTGCATAGAAGTCAGAGAGCCTGCTCAGATGGAGAATGTTCTTTGTAGCCCGGCGGTGGTGGCGCACGCCTTTAATCCGGCACTCGGGAGGCAGAGGCAGAGCCAGGCGGATCTGTGAGTTCGATGCCAGCCTGGGTCTACAGAGCAAGATTCAGGACAGGCACCAAAACTACACAGAGAAAGCCTGTCTCAAAAAACCAAAAAAGAATATTCTTTGCAGTGGCCAGCAAATTCGTCTCATCCATACTACTTTCTTTTTTTTTTTTTCCAGGGATGTTGGTGGTAAATGTGACATGGAGGAACAAGACATACGTAGGTACACTTCTTGACTGCACAAGGCATGATTGGGCACCCCCAAGGTGAGCACATACAGATGTCTAGTTTATATTAGTCTGATCCCTCCACATAATTAATGAATCGTTACTTTATCTTATTAGAGTTGGCCCATTTGGCCTCAAACTGAAGCCTCCTGAACCTCCTCCAACTCAAGGCTCCTCACTAGCTTGAGCCACCACACGGGTTATATCCACTTTTCTTCCCTCCCTCCCTCCTTGCCTTCCTTCCTCTTGGGGACAAGGGTTCATTCTGTTACCCAGTCTTTGAACTCACTGTATAGGCCAGGCTGCCTCAAACCCAGCCTTCTAGATGCTGGGATTACAGGTGTTTGTCTGAGTCACTATTCCTGGCCTTATTTTCAAGTTACAGTTTGATTTTTATTTTTTTTAATTTGTTTTTTCAAAATTTATTTATTATGTATATAGTGTTCTGCCTGCATCTATGCCTGCAGGCCAGAAGAGGACACCAGATCTCATTACAGATGAGATTACATGGTGAGCCACCACCATGTGGTTGTTGGAACTTGAACTCAGGACCTCTGGAAGAGCAGCCAATGCTCTTAACCACTGAGCCATCTCTCCAGCCCCCAGTTTGATTTTTAAATTAACATTTCAAACCAGCTATAGTGCTATGTACGTGTAATTCCAGCCCTTGGTGGACACAGAAGATCAGGAGTTCAAAGCCAGTTTCAGCTACATAGGGAGTTTGAGGCTAACTTAGGTTACATACCTTGTTTCCAAAATGTGTGTGATAAGATTAACATTTGGGGGCCGGGGCATTGCGTGAGGCTTAGGGATTCACTCTCAAACACATAACAAAAATAAAGATACAGGCTGGGCAGCGGTGGCACAGGCCTTTAGTCCCAGCACTTGGGAGGCAGAGCCAGGTGGATCTCTGTGAGTTCGAGGCCAGCCTGGTCTACAGAGCAAGATCCAGGACAGGCACCAAAAGTACACAGAAAAACCCTGTCTCGAAAACTAAAAAATAAAAATAAAAGTAAATAAATAAATAGAAATACAATAAAAATCACTAATATTTCAATGTCTCTTTATACCTTATTCCTAATGTTATTACTCAGTGTGCTGGGGCTTGAGAACCCTAAAATATGGCGGAATGATCCAGGGATAGTATGCAAATGGCATCCTAGGAGGTCAGGAGAATGGTGTAAGTATCCTGTAAAATGGAGGCCAACTTGGACTACTTATTGAGTTCCATACCAGCCTGGGCTTCCAAAAAGCAAAGCTAAGTGTAGTGACTCTTGCCATGAGGCCCTGGCTCATTAAAACAAAGATGTTTTCCCCTTATTAATATCCTGTCCTGTTTGTCCTTTGCCAAGGTTCTGTGACTCCCCCACCAGTGACTTGGAAATGCGTAACGGTCGAGGACGAGGCAAGCGCATGCGTCCCAACAGTAACACGCCTGTCAATGAGACAGCCGCAGCCTCTGACAGCAAAGGGACCAGCAACAACAGCAAAACCCGAGCAGGAGCCAACAGCAAAGGCCGCCGGGGCAGCCAGAACTCCTCAGAGCATCGCCCCCCAGCAAGCAGCACCTCGGAGGATGTCAAGGCCAGCCCTTCCTCAGCTAATAAGCGGAAAAACAAACCTCTTTCAGATATGGAACTGAATTCTAGCTCAGAGGACTCCAAAGGAAGCAAACGTGTCCGCACAAATTCCATGGGCTCAGCCACCGGGCCACTCCCTGGGACCAAGGTGGAAGCCAGTGTTGTGGACAGAAATTGTCCCTCCCCAGTCCTGATTGACTGTCCCCACCCAAACTGCAACAAAAAGTACAAGCACATTAATGGGCTTAAGTACCACCAAGCTCATGCCCACACGGACGATGACAGCAAACCGGAAGCCGACGGAGACAGTGAGTATGGAGAAGAGCCCACCCTCCATGCAGACCTGAGCAGCTGCAACGGTGCATCTGTCTCACAGAAAGGATCCTTGTCCCCTGCCCGCTCAGCTACCCCCAAAGTTCGGCTTGTTGAGCCTCATAGCCCTTCCCCTTCAAGCAAATTCAGCACAAAAGGCCTCTGTAAGAAAAAACTGAGTGGGGAGGGAGACACAGACCTTGGGGCCTTATCCAATGATGGTTCTGATGATGGACCCTCAGTAATGGATGAAACAAGCAACGATGCCTTTGACTCTTTGGACAGGAAGTGTGTGGAAAAAGAAAAATGTAAAAAGCCCTCCAGTTTGAAACCTGACAAGATTCCATCCAAGAGCTTAAAGTCAGCCCGGCCCATTGCCCCTGCCATACCCCCACAACAGATCTACACTTTCCAGACGGCCACCTTCACAGCAGCAAGCCCTGGCTCCTCCTCAGGCTTGACCACCACAGTGGTCCAAGCAATGCCCAACAGCCCCCAACTCAAGCCTATTCAGCCCAAGCCCACTGTTATGGGAGAGCCTTTCACAGTCAACCCTGCCTTGACCCCTGCCAAGGACAAGAAAAAGAAAGACAAAAAAAAGAAGGAATCATCAAAGGAACTTGAAAGTCCTCTGACCCCTGGGAAGGTGTGCCGAGCAGAAGAAGGTAAAAGCCCGTTCAGAGACTCATCAGGGGATGGAATAAAAATGGAGGGGCTTCTGAATGGCTCCTCGGACTCCCACCAAAGCCGGTTAGCGAGCATAAAGGCGGAAGCTGATAAGATTTACAGTTTTACAGACAACGCCCCCAGCCCTTTGATTGGAGGCAGCAGCCGCCTCGAGAGTGCTACCCCAACCCAGCCCCTAACTCCCCTACATGTAGTGACCCAGAACGGTGCTGAAGCCAGTTCAGTCAAAACCAACAGTCCTGCCTACTCTGACATCTCGGATGCTGGGGAGGATGGGGAGGGCAAGGTGGACACTGTCAAGTCCAAGGACCCTGACCAGCTGGTTAAAGAAGGGGCTAAGAAAACACTTTTCCCCCCTCAGCCGCAGAGCAAAGACTCACCATATTATCAAGGCTTTGAAAGTTACTACTCTCCAGGTTATGCGCAGTCCAGCCCAGGGGCTCTCAACTCCAGCAGCCAGTCAGGGATGGAGGGCCAGGCCCTCAAGACAAAAAAGGAGGAGGAGCCCGAGAGCATAGAAGGGAAAGTGAAGAATGATGTCTGTGAGGAAAAGAAACCTGAACTGAGCAGTTCCAGTCAGCAGCCCTCTGTCATCCAGCAACGGCCCAACATGTACATGCAGTCCCTGTACTACAACCAGTATGCCTACGTGCCTCCATACGGCTACAGCGACCAGAGTTACCACACCCACCTCCTGAGCACCAACACAGCTTACCGACAGCAGTACGAAGAACAGCAGAAACGGCAGAGCTTGGAGCAGCAGCCGCGGGGACTGGACAAGAAGGCAGAGATGGGCCTGAAAGAGCGGGAGGCATCACTCAAGGAAGAGTGGAAGCAGAAGCCGTCAATTCCACCAACTCTCACCAAGGCTCCCAGCTTGACAGACTTGGTGAAGTCAGGGCCAGGCAAAGCCAAGGAGCCAGGAGCTGATCCTGCCAAGTCCGTCATCATTCCCAAATTAGACGACTCATCAAAACTCCCCGGCCAGGCCCCTGAAGGCCTAAAAGGGAAGCTGGGTGAGGCCAGCCACCTAGGCAAGGAGGCCTCTGAGGCTAAGACAGGCACTGAGTGTGGCCGACAGGCAGAGGTGGATCCAATACTCTGGTACCGACAGGTAACTGCTGTGTGTCAGGAAGCAGAAACACTAATCAACTTTCTGGCCCCGCAGATCAGCACTGTCTTGTGTAAGGGTGCCATAGAATTAGATTAGCAGGAGAGTTGTATAATTTTAGGAATTCTGTACATTTTCATGTTGAAAGGGTGTTTTTCCCTTAAATGGGAAAGAAGGACTAATGAGACAGTTTGTTTTGTCTAGAGTTGGTTGAGCCTTCACAAGCAGAGCCAGGACAAGAACCTAGGCATCCTGACTCCTAGCCCAATGTCCCACTGTATAGTTCCTTTGGGATGAAAGCATATAGTATTCAGCTAACAGATGTCTTTACAAAGGATTTTATGGTGTCAGCTAGGATGCACATGCCTGTAATCTTAGTACTTGGAAGGCTAAAGGCAGATTGTCATGAGTTTTTAGCCACACTGAGCTGCATAGTAAGTTGAAAGCCAGCCTGCACTACATAACAAGGTCCTGTTCTCTAAATAAATAGTAATATTTAAAAATTAAAACTAATGGGGCTGCAGAGATGGCTCAGTGGTTAAGAGTACTTGCTGTTCTTCCAGAAGACCCAACTTCACTTCCTAATACCCACATCAGATGGCTTAGAAGCTCCTGTAACTCCAGCTCCTGGGAATCTAATGCTCTCTTCTGGTCTCGGCAGACAGCCACACCTGTTGCAGATATTAACTCAGGAGATTTAGAATGTCTTCCCTTTACTCTTGCTATTAGTTCTACCCTTCCTGACAAGAGGAAAGTGGTAATTTTGCAAAACAAAACTTGTCTTATTCCTGGAGTCATTGCCCCAGAAGTCTTACTCCCATAAAGAGCACCCACTGATGGCTGTACCTTTTCTTCCCCATGTCTTGTCTCCTTAGGCTTGAGAAAGTGTTTTGCTTTGTTTTGTAGTGACAGGTTCTCACTATGTATTCCTTACTGGTTTAGAACTCTCTGTAAACTAGGCTGCTCGAACTCACTGCTTCCCCAGTGTTGGAACTAACAGTGTTTTTGCAAACAAAATTGGTAGAAGCCAAGCTGTCACTCTGCCTTGGGTGCTGTAATATTCTGTTCTGGTGTTTCTGCTGGGGCCTTGGGTTTGAAAAGGATCTTTTGTGTGTATAACACTACTCAGCACTTGTTCTGTGGTTTTTGCAGGAGACAGAGCCCCGGATGTGGACATATGTTTATCCTGCCAAGTACTCAGACATCAAATCAGAGGATGATCGGTGGAAAGAGGAGCGGGACCGGAAATTAAAGGAGGAAAGGAGTCGGAGTAAGGACTCGGTTCCCAAGGAAGATGGGAAAGAGAGCACAAGTACTGAGTGCAAGCTACCCGCCTCCGAGGAGTCCCGCCTTGGAAGCAAGGAGCCCCGGCCAAGTGTCCATGTGCCTGTGTCCTCCCCCCTGCCCCAGCACCAGTCCTACATCCCCTACATGCACGGCTACTCTTACAGCCAGTCCTATGACCCCAACCACCCCAGCTACCGGGGCATGCCTGCTGTGATGATGCAGAACTACCCAGGTACAGTACCTAGTGCTGGCTTTGCTGCTCTCGGGGAAGGGAGATGAGCAGATTTCCAATCCAGGGCTTTGTTGCTTTGGTTCTAAGTGTCAGTGAGACTGGCTTGGATGACAGTCCTTTTATTTTCAATGTGCACCTGCTATGAAGTTGCCACTCTAACCTTAAATGACCCTAATTACGGTTGGAAACACCACCTCTCCCGTGCTCCAGCTTTTCTCGATTATCAGTGGTAAAACTGTGCACCACAGCCAGCTTCTCTCTGTTGGACTTTCTTTCGACATGCACTCTGATTTGTGCTGTATGCAAGGCACTGTGGGGAATACTAAAGAAATAGAAGAGACTAGTTCCCCCCACTCAAGGACCTCACAGCTTCATACAGCAGGAGCAATACATGTGACACATAAGATTCAAACCAGAACAACGCAGGCATTCATCTTTGAGGCTCTGCTCAGCTGGGAGATCAGAAGCTGGCAGGGATGCAGAGAGCAGTTTGAAGTCAGCTGGGGGGATGTCCAGGAGGTTCAGCTTGAGAAAAATCAGTTCTTACACTGCTGACAATGAGTTCTCAGTGGGTCAAGGTTTAATGTTTTTAACTTGCTAGAAAAAAATGTTTGTATTCAACTCTCCTCACTAGAGCCCGGTAGGATTCCTCTGGGGTGGAAGGGAGCTTCAGGTTTGTTGTTGTTGTTTTGTTGGTTGGTTTGAGGTTGGGGAGGGGGCTTCTTATTGTTGTTTTCCTGAGACAGGATTTCACTCTGTAGCCCTGGCTGGCCTGGAACTCACTGTGTGGAACAAGCTGGCCTCGAACTCAGAGAGCTCCACCTGCCTCTCTCCTGAGTGCTGGATTAAGGCGAGCATGTACCACCATGCCTGGCCATAATGTAGTCTTCCAGCACACACACTCAGTGTCCACTGATCAGTCCAGGTAATGGCATCCCACGTGTACAGCCTTGTCTTCTCCTCTTTGGCGCTGCATGAAATATGTAGTAGGTTTTCGAGATTGTAGCCACTCGACTGAGCTGCAGTACACAAGAATTTATGCCTTCTGTCTGTCTGGACATCTAGAATCCAACCTGCCCTCCTCTGCCCTGCCCTCCTCAGCTTCTATCCCTGTTTTTCATTTAGATCCGCCTGAGCACTCATAGCTCTCAGGCGTCTAGAGCATGTAGTCTTGACGTTCTGCTGGCCTTATTACAGGATAAATTCTAAATATAAATAAGCTTTTCAAACAGATACAGGAGATCATCTCACCCTTGTGGTACACCTTACCATCTATATAAAAAGAAGAGTTCTGCCGGGTGCACACGCCTTTAATCCCAGCACTCAGGAGGCAGAACCAGGTGAATCCCTGTGAGTTCGAGGCCAGCCTGGGCTACAGAGCAAGCTCCAGGACAGGCACCAAAACTACACAGAGAAACACTGTCTCAGAAAATAATAATAATAAGAGTTCCATTGGTTGAGGCACTGTCTTGAATGATTTATGCACCTTTTTACTTACTCTGGTATTTTTGTAGCTGAGACAGGGTCTTGTTATGTAGCCCTGGCTAGCCTATAATTAACTATATGGTGTAGGCTAGCCTCCAACTTTCCTCCTCTTTCTTCTTGCCTCTACTCTAAGTACTGGAATTACATGCACATGCCACCACCCCCAGCTTGTGTGTGTTCTTATGCATATGTATGCATATATGTGAAGGTCAGAGGTCAATGTCACTTGTCTTCTTCAGCTGCTCTCCAACTTATTTTTTGAAACAGGATCTCTCACTGAACCTGGAGCTCACTGATTATGCTAGACTGACTTGCAGTGAGCCCCAGGGATTCTCCTGGGTACCTTCACAGTGCTAGAATTATAGGTCCATAGTCTTTGCTTCTACCATGTTGGTTTCAGGGACCAAACTTGGTTGTCAGCCTTGGTAGCAGATGCCTTTACCTACTGAGTGAGCCCTCTGTGGGTCTTGTTCTAAGATTTTTTTTATTTATGTGTATGAATGTTTGCCTGCCATGTGCATGCCTGGTATCCAAGGAGGCCAGAAAAGGTGTTACGTCCCCTGGAACTAGGGTTACAAACCACTCTGAGCTGTCATGTGGGTGTTAGAGATGCAGCCTGGGTCCTTCACAGTAACAAAGTATTCTTAACCACTGAATCATCTCTCCAGCCTCACTGGTTTTGAGATGTAGTCTGGCCATGTAACCCCGGCTGACCTTGAACTCATCTTCCTGCCTTGGCCTTCCCAGTGCTTCAAGTTCACATTGCTTGTTTGTTGGCTGCGTACTCTGAACTAGAATTTACTATGTAGTGCAGGCTAGCCTCCTTGAAACAGTCCTCTTACCTTTGCCTCCCAAGTACTGGGAGTAGAGCACTATACCTAGCTCATGTTACCTTTTTGTATTGGTATCTTTTTTTTTTTAGGTTGATTTATGAGTGTGTGTGGGGGATACGTAAGCACAGTGTTTGCAGAGGCCAGAAGAGGACATCAGCTCCCCTGGAGCTGGAGTTACAGATGGCCGCCTAATGTGGGTTCTAAGAATTGAACCCACATCCTGTGGAAGAATAATTGTTCTTAACCACTGAACCACCACTCCAACACCACTACCACCACCACCCCTTTTTGCGTCTTTTTTTTTTTCTCCCCGAAATAGGGTCTTTCTGTGTAGCCTTGGCTGTCCTGGAACTCGCTCTGTAGACCCGGCTGGTATTGAACTGAAAGAGTTCTGTCTGCCTCTGCCTCTAGAGTGCTGGAATTAAAGGCATGCACCACCACACTGGCCTACCACCCTTTTTTTAAATAAAGAAAAATAAAGTCTCACTATGTAACCTGGCTGGCATGAAACTCCCTCTATATGGACCAGACTGGCTTCAACCTCACATAGATGTACCTGCCTCTGCCCTACTGTGTGGTGGGATCAAACTTAGGTCATCAGTCCTAGCAGCAAGTGTTTTTACCCGCTGGGCCATCACAATGGCCCTTGTTTTGTTTTTGGGGATAGGATCTTGTCTAGGCTCACATTTAACTCACAGTTCTGCCCCAACCACCGCACTGTTGGGATTACAGATGTGTGTGCCATCGTGCATGGCTGATACATTCATTCTGATGATAAAGAACTGAGACTCAAAAAGCTTGTCACTTTATTCAGGGTTATTCAGCCCAAGGCTGTCTGACTGAATCCTTTGATCTTTCAACTTTATCATATGACTCTGAGATAGCATCATCAGGAGCCATAGGAGATCTGAGAAGTCAGCTGTGGGAAACTGAGTGCCATATTCTGTCTCCCTTCACCTGTTCTTCCTATAGAGCTTGTTCAGAAGCCAAGAGTGTCCTCCCAGAGATGCTGTGGTCGAAGGTGTCTCAGATGATGCTGAAGAGAGCTGATGCCGCCTGACCACACTCACTAGAGCAGTTCCTCTGCCAGCCTCAGTTCTTTGACTGCTCCATCTCTCCTTCCCTAGGTTCCTATTTGCCTTCCAGCTACTCTTTCTCCCCCTATGGCAGCAAGGTCTCAGGTGGCGAGGATGCTGACAAGGCACGTGCCAGCCCCAGCGTGAGCTGTAAAGCCAGCTCAGAGTCCAAAGCCCTGGACATCTTGCAGCAACATGCCAGTCACTACAAAAGCAAGTCTCCCACGGTAAGTAGGGCATGCAGCCCAGGTCCTGTCCAAAGACCAAGAAATCAAGATCCACAGCATGGGAGAAGTGGGCAAGTTCAGGTTCTGACCACAGTGCAGCTTGGCTGACTTGACATTGACCCCATAGGAGCACCCCCTTTATTTATAAATACCCTGCATTTTTAAGACTCATAATGTAGGGCCCTGGTTAGATCACTAGTGTGTATATATCTCATTATAGTACCTTTATGTGTTTCCTTTCCTTTCCAGATAAGTGATAAAAGTTCTCAGGAGAGAGATCGGGGAGGCTGTGGGGTAGTTGGGGGTGGTGGCAGCTGTAGCAGTGTTGGGGGAACAGGAGGTGGTGACAGGAGTGTCGACCGGCCCCGCACTTCCCCTTCCCAGCGCCTGATGTCCACACACCACCACCACCATCACTTGGGCTACTCCTTGCTCCCAGCACAGTACAACCTACCCTATGCCGCAGGTAAGGCTCTTGTCCTCATCACCTCTAGTTTTGTTTCCTTTCAGTTAGTAGCACTTGTAGCAAGGCCCCTCAAACTTGTAATTTGAGATGATTCCCACCACTTGGGGTGTTGAAGCAGGAGCATAAAAATCAATTCAAGGAGGGCTGTGAGATGACTTGGTAAAGCACTTGCCTTGTGAGTGTGGGGACCTGAATTCAGTCCTCAAAACCCATGTAAAAAGACAGATGTGAGCCGGGCGGTGGTGGCGCACGCCTTTAATCCCAGCACTCGGGAGGCAGAGCCAGGCGGATCTCTGTGAGTTCGAGGCCAGCCTGGGCTACCAAGTGAGTTCCAGGAAAAGGCGCAAAGCTACACAGAGAAACCCTGTCTCAAAAAATAAAAAAACAAAAAACAAAAAAAAGACAGATGTGGTGGTGTGTGCAGATCCCACTAGCCTAGCCTACTTGGCAAAGTTCCAGGCCAGTGAAAGCCCTTGTCTTAAATAAAAGGTAGACAGCACATGAGGAATGGCACCCAAGGTTGTCCCGTGACCTCCACACACTCAGGTGTGCAACGCACACAGACATGCTCGCTCACTCGCCTTCTTCTTCTTGTGAGATGGACCCTGTCTTAAACAAAACACAAAGGAACGTCCACTTTGTCCTGAGTTCCAGAGTCCCTGTAGTAGGCTGCCATGTGTTTCCTCCCTGGGAGCTTGGGAACTTTCATCTTCAGCAGAGTAAGGAATGGGTGTTTCCACTGCTGAAAAGAAGCAGTTGAAAACCAAGCTGTACCCTCACCCACTAGATCTGGCCAAGTATCAGGGTTGTTTGGTTTTCTGTCAGCACCCCAAAAATTCAGTGGCGCTAGGGGAACCTAAGGGGAAATTCCTCCCTATATTCAGCCAACTGGTGGAGTGTGGAGGGCCATTTCCTGAGTGCTACATTAAATATGTTCTCTGCTTGCCCAGGGCTTTCTTCTACAGCCATTGTTGCCAGCCAGCAAGGCTCAACTCCCTCACTCTACCCACCCCCCAGGAGGTGAGAATGGTAAGTAGCTTTTGTTAATTTGGAGTAACAAATTAACAGGGGTAGCTGCTACCTGGATCACAGAATCCCTGTGGTGCCCAACTGAGGGGTAACCTTGTGAGGTCAGTGGTCTGGAAAAGGGGGCCCATTGGCCAAGCCTGTGGTACTAGCCTCTTAGCTGTGTACATCTGAGGGCCTGTGGAGGAGGCAGCCCTAGCTGGCTTTCCCTGCAGTTCTTTTGTGTGGGGTGGGGGGGGTGGAGGTTGTTATTTTATTTATTGTTGACGGTGGTGCATGGAGGATGGAACTCAGCTTGGGCTTGGCAGCAAGCACCCTTACTCACCACACCATCTCACCAGCCTCCGCTCGTTTTCTTAGAGCGCCATCTTGTGGGTGTGATGCCAAGCAGGCCACAATTACCTGTTGACCTGTCATTTTTCCTTTGCAGAACACCAAGTGCCCAGATGAAGTCAGCTTCGTGGGCCAGCCTGGCTCATTTGAGGTGGTGCTGGAGGTGCCATTTTACCATCCGTTACACGGTGCTGATGATCCTGTTTGCCATTCCTACCGTGACTGAAGGCAGGCCCTTGGCTATTTCACCTCCACCTGACCCTTCCTCTTCCTCAGGAGCTGAAGAACTGGTACTCAAAAATATTTATTCTCTCAGCCACAGTTAAGACTGTTGTGGCATCTGTGGAGATGAAGGCATAGGAGCAACGGAGGGAACAGAGCCTCATCCCAGAGAAGTTCCTGCTCTGTTAACCCAGCCCCTAGTCTACCGCCAGAGCAGTACCCTACACGTAACACCTGGGAGGGACCCCAAGCGTGGGGTGAGGTCTGAAGACAGCACAGCAGCCATGCCCCTTTCATTGTCATTACCACCATCACCAAGATTCCCTGTCTCCTCGATGGTTTGGGCCCTGGGAACTGGCAGCACGTGGAGAAATTAGAATCTCAGGAAAGAAGTTGGGGGCTGTTTTCCCTGTGATTGTGAAGACAAGGTCTTCAAGCATGGAGACATCCTCCTCTAATATGAGCACAGATGAACGCTCAGAGCCTAACCTGTAAAGGGAGAGTAAGGCATTTGCCCCACCCCTCCCCCATAGCCTTGTGCTCCTGTTAGGCAGAAAGTAGGGTTCTAGCACCAGCACAGGGTTCCCTGGGGATGCTGGGAGGAGCTGGAGCATAAATGGAGTCTGTGAAATTGAACCTGCTTCCTCACCAAAATTCCTGCCGCTTTTCATCTCCCAACTCCTTGCCCTTTCTCTTTCTTTTTAACCCCTTGGTGCCTTTTCCAGGGGCAGGGGGAGTCCCCATACTGACCTCTTCTACTGCTTGGCTCTTACAACTCAGGCAGAGTAGACCTCTCCCAGCACGGGTAACCTTGGAGTCTGCCACATCACTTTAGGGCACGAACCAGAAGGCAGGCTGTAGGAACACCCAGCAGTTCTTGGAGACATTCAGTCTTCTGAGTATCTTTCTCATTTAGGGTCACAAATGTGTACAGCCCAGTTCCTCTGTCTAAAGGTACATGATTTTATGCAGTTCACTCTCTAACTCCTTGTGTGCCAATATGAGGCGTGTCTTTGTAATACACATTTTTGTTTTTGGGGCCACTGGCCAAGGGGGGTGATTTGCTCCTTAGACCCTGAAATAGCATATTCACGCATTATATACCCAAGCCACAGAGTGGACACAGTGGGATGAGGCTTTGGGGTGCAGACATGTCTGTTCCCCTGAGCTGCAAAGTTGTGTGCTGGGAAAGTGATGATCTAGCTTTATTGGAGTCACTTCTTCCCAGAATGTGGGATGCTTTTTAGCTCTCTGCTATTGCAGGGTGTCATCCCTTTGTTCCCCTCCCCTCTTGTCTTTACCCTCTGGGCTGCAAGAGAGAGAAAGTCTACAGATAGCAGTCTGGGCTCACAGGGAGCTTGTCACAAGAATGTCAGAAATGACACTTTGAGGATGGCTGACTTCTTTGGGAGAGTGAGGTGGTGGGAGCTGGTAAGCACAAAGCCCAAGGAAAGGTGGTTCCCAAGGACCTGTGAGCCCTCCCTGTGTACAGACAGGCTTGGGGTAGGGTATTGGCACCTCCTACCTACGCACCTTTCCCGTTTCCAAGTCCTTATTTTTGTTCAAGCTGGGTTCTGGGCACTTGAAAAACTCGACCTGTTTCCGACCTGTCGGCTGGACCCCAAGTAGCCCTTCTTCCCTCACCACCATTGTCCCCTGTGCCCATGTTGTCCCAGGAAGCAGTACTTTGGGCAGTGACCCCCTTTCATTCATGGAAGTAGATATTGGAGACACCATCCTACCTAACCCATTCCCCATTCTAAGAGGGTGACTGGCTTTCAGCCTGATTATGCCTCCCCAAAAACTCCAGTGAATAGAGCCAGGTGCCCATCTGTTCCTGTTTGTTTCTTAAATACTGTTGGTGTTTTGTATGTATCTGTGGCACTGGCTTGCAATGTGCTTTGTACATATTGTAAAGGAACCATTGGAGCAATTTTCTTTTTCATTGGGAAGGCACGACCCACATTCCTGCCTTTTCTACTTCATTTTATAACAGAGGCTGTATTTGCAAGACAGCCTTAGGTTCTGCAGAAGGGAACAGGTTTCTCTCTCTCTCTCTCTCTCTCTCTCTCTCTCTCTCTCTCTCTCAAAAAGTCAGCTCTTTGATCCCTCTATCCCAGTGCCCCTTGAAGAACAGGCCCTGCCCTGGAGTGAGATTAGCAGTAGAAAACTGACACCGTGTTCTCAGTCTGCTCCTCCTGGTCCCTATCTGAGTCCAGTCTTCTCTCCCTGAAATAGTGTCACACAGCTGCAGCTGTGCAGATCCTGGCTAGTGCTGAGAGATTGGCTGTCCACCTCCACACTCCACAGGGGGAACTGTGACACCTAGTCAGAGACAAGACCTGGTCCAGTCTGCCAAGCCTCTCACTGAGCCACCCCTGCCCATGCCCTTGGTGTTCAGTAATCTCTGAGACCCATGTGGAGAAGCTACAAGTAGGGGCCTCACCCCAAGGAGGGCAGCCACAGCTTGACAGCTGCCGCCTAGGATTCCTGTCTGCTTCCTTCCTCAATGGTGTGCCAGTTCCCTTCAGCTCTTCCCTGTGTTACACATGTACATGTGCTCTCCGCTTAGCCTACACTGGCCACACGTCTCAAGGTCAAAGAAACACACAGAAAAGGGTAAGAGAAGAGGGTGCCCTCTAAAATAACCATTTCATGCATCTCCTCTCCAGGCTCCAGGGTGGGGTGGGGGGCTTAGCTTAAGGGAGTTGGGAGTTAAGACTGCAGAAGGGCTAGAGAACTGGATATAGGTTTGAGGCCTCCTCGTCACTTACTACCCCATATACCCTATCATTGTGTACTCTGATGCCCCTCAAGATTCAGCTGGGCAGCTAGCTGGCCCATAATTCTGGGCCTTTGTCATTACTAGGGCATCCTAGGAAACTTTCCAGTGATTCCCTGCCATGGCCCTCCCAGGCCTTGTCCCCAGCCCCTCCTGCCCCAGCCCACCCGCTTGCCTTGGTGCTCAGCCCTCCCATTGGGAGCAGGTTGGGGCAAGCTGGAGGCCCGGGCTGGAGGGGCAGTGTTGCTGTTCATAGCTTTTGTTCCATTGGCGTTGCTCTGTTGGATTTAATTTCAGTCTTCCTGATTCTTCCCTTCTGTAAAGTGTACATTATTACCAAGTTCCTTGTTTTTTTATATATATATATAAATATATATATATATACAAACTGTACTCTTTTTGCCTTTGTACATTCAGGCAAGAAGAGAAAATAAATCTTTTTAAGAGACAATCACAAATCTGTGAGGGCTGCTGGTTATTTCTCCTGGATTTGCTGCTGAGCTGCCGCTGCCTCCTCCCCTAGCTGTCCTGTCCCCTCGGCTTCCCTGTCTCTCTCGTCCTGCTCCATGTGCATCCTCAGCGTCACCTCCACTGGCTGACAGCAAGCTGTTGAATCCAGTGTGCAGACTACTTTCCCTTGGAGCCTTTTCCTGCCCAGCATTGTTTTCTGGCTTGGCCACTGGCTGATTCTTTATCCTGGCCTCTTCTTTTTACCCTTGGATCCCATTCACCAAAGTGGCTTTGGACCCCTAGGTACTCTGAGACCTGCCTCTCAGAGGCCCTGACTTTGGACATTCATTCCTCTATGAAACTATGCAGCTGGGAGCTCTCTGCCTGAGATTTTGCACTACTTAAACCTGCCTGGGAGTTAGAATGGAAGGTTTTAGGAACAAGTGGGAAAATGACCCCCCAGCATTCCACCCCACACACACCCCACCCATCCTAGCCTCCGAAGTCTGCTGGTCCAGGAACCACTCCTGGACTCCCGTTGTTACCCTATAAGATCAAGGGCTTTTGATGAGACTCTCAAAGAGTGGTACCCTTCAGAAACACAGCCCAGCCAAACCATGTTCAGGCTTTCCCTTTTCCTGACCTTCCTCCTCCCTCTTCTCCACTTTGTCTCTACTTCCTTTTCTTAATTGGCTTTGGAATTGAAGTCTATTTTTAAATTATTTGTTGTATTTATTGAATAAAGTTTTTAATGTCCCTGTTCTTACATTTAGACTAAAGTTTGCCTTTCACGTATCTCCCTTTCCTAGCCCCTCTTCACCATCCCCAGATTTTCTACCTTCTAAGTTGCTTTTTCAAATGAAGTGCTGCTGCTTACTTCCCATGATTAGGTACTGTCAGTGGTGGTCTTCAACAGCCCAGTTTGTGTGTGTGACAGGTAGGTATATAGTTTCCAGGTCAGCCCATTTTACCGGCTGTAAACAGGAAACATCAACATACAGCAGCAGAAACTGTTTCCCTCGGCTTTGCAAGCTTGGGCTGAAAAGTAAAGAACTGAGTGAGTCTTGATTCTTTGTTAGCCCTGTCGATTTGTAAATGGATTGCTCAGATTTTACAATTGAATCATGACCTCCCTTGCTACCTTTAGGCTACTTCTAGGAGTCATCTGTTTGATGGAGGGTATTTCCAAACCAATTATAACTTCAGCTCACTTTGAAGGAATACCATGTGCAAGTGGAGCCCAAGTTTAGTGACTTGGCTAAATAGAACACAGGTAAGCGCCATGAAAAAACAAGTTGAAAATGGGTCAAGTGTATGGAGAAACTAAGGGTTGCCTTGAGGGGAAGGGATTTAACATGCATGGGGAGAAACCTGAGAAGTGAAGTGATGAGAGTGCTCAGCCCCCATCCCCAGGACCAGAGAAATGAGTCTTCCTGCTAGGGGTAAAAAGAGACTAGAAGACACGCCTTAGGAACACTGGGCTCCAAGAGGAGGACACGAAGAAGGAAAAGAATGTGCTGTTCCTTTCAAAGACCTTAGAGCCACTGCAGAGGCTGAGGCAGGAAGAGTGTTACAAGTTAAGGCCAGAGCTATAGTGACCTTAAATCAAAAAAGAAAAAGGGAAAGAAAAAAAAAAAGACTTCAGGGATAAAGTTAGCACCATGAAAATCTAAAACCTAGTGTTAAGCCCCAGCCTTCTATTAACACCTGGAATTCTGGGTTAGCTGCTACCACACAGGAAAGTGTTATGTATACACCTCTCTCCAAGGGCACTTAGTGTCTCCCTAGCAACCCCACATTTCAGTGGAACATGGCCCCAGAGACGAGCAGGTCTTTCCCTGGGAAGTGTATATCATATCTGTATTATGTTTAGCTCTAGTAGTGGTAGGGAAGTTGGTCCTGATACAGGAATAAAGAACAGACCAACCACAACTTTAAATCAGTTTATTGACACAGTAACACAACACACTTGCCTCCCTGACACCCCCACACCCAATGCAGATCTCTCTCCCTTCTTTTCCCTTTAGAACACGCTGTTTGGTGAAGCAGTAAAGGGCAGGCCACTTCTGCAGTCCAGCCTACCCTGGGCCCAGTAGAGCGGGCACTGCTTGGAACCTGTTGGGGAGGCAGTCAGTACTATGCTTGGCCAGCCAGAGGCATCCCGTCCTAAGAACAGATTCCCCCACAAATCCCAAGCCCTGAGTTTGCTAGGCTTCCTCTCAGCTCTTGCTAGAAAAGAGATCTTGGGGCCTGGGCCATGGAAGCAAGAACTCCAATGGTAACTTGAGATGTAGTTTGGCTAGTTTCTTAAGGCCCAGGCACCCCCAAAAAAGCCCTGGTGGTGGGGGGTGAATTTCAATGCCCCTATTTAAAATGCACTGGTAACATTAAACAGATTAAGCCAGCTTAACCAAATGCCAGAATAACACTAAGCTGTAAAGAAAGCAAGGCCAGACCTGCTTACACCAGGCCAGACACAAAATGCCAAGAAGCCCAAGGTGGAGTGTCAAAAACAACCCAAGGACACTGCCCAGGAGCTAAAAAGCCTGTACTCAGAAGCCCCGGGTGACAGGAAGCAAAGAAAGAAAATACCTAAGTCTTAAAAACCGAAAAAAGAAAGCCCAACCGCAAGGAAACCGGAGCCTAACAGTGCTGCCCACCAGCCCCTGCCCCTGGACCAGACAGTCTCTCCCCCTCCAGGCAATTTCCTCCCCTAGGCTAGATGGAGCACACCATAGAGCAGTTTAAAAAGCTTCTAATGCCAGTTCATAAACATCTTCATTTACTATTGGTGATTACATGTGAATAATATGCTTATACTGTTCTTTATGGAAAACAATTTCAACGAGTCAACTCCGAGAACACAATGGGCAACCCTCAACCTGAGCCCTCAATGTCCTTCCCTAGACAGCCAGGAACACTCTCATCTGTCCCGGGCTGCCTAACTTCCCCTCTTGCCCCACTGTGGCTCTTGGGCAAAGCATCCTCTATGACCATTAGTCCTCATCAGACAAGTTCTGGTCCAGGGGGTAAACCATGAACATCACATCTGGCCGAGAGGGGACACAGGGATGACCTGGACGCACAATCTCAAAGCCCAAGAAGCTGAATGTCTTCAGGAGTGGAGCTGCAGAGAGGAATCATAGAAAGGGGAGTCTCAAATCCAGGGAAAATCCCAAAGACGGAACAAACAAAGTACGAGGGCCTCAGGCACTCCCCCTTGGCCATGACTCTCCCAGTTTGTAGGGCAAGTGTGCACAGTGCACAGCCCTCTGCTTCCACCCCAGGCCCCACTAGCTGCTGGGCTATAGGCCTCAAAGGGTTTTGACTGCTCACCTCTGTCTTCCCGGCCCTTCCTGAAGCAGATGAAGACGTAGTTCACTTTCATCTTCTCCTCAGCAAACTCTAGCAGTGCTAATAATCTGCAGAAACAAAGCACTGCTCAGGTGCGTCCACTGCCACCTCTGCAGACCTCCACCCCACCCCCAAAAGGGCCTCTGGAGCCTAAGAGCCAGCAAGGTTGACACAGAATCTCCAGAAAAAGGGCCCCAATCTAGAGCCCTATATTAAGAGATAAATAAGTCACAGATGGGGCGGGGGTGGGGGTGGGGTCTCTCTCCCTATAATAAGAGTTCTTCAACTGTACCTGAAAGTAATACTGTCTTAACTAGTGCAGGTCACAGGACAATGTGGGGCCTTCAACAGAACCCAATTCACTGTGGGTATTACACTAGGCCCAGGTGTGGTGGTTCACTCCTTTAATCCCAGCACTCGAGAGGCAAAGGCAGGTGGATCTCTGTGAGTTTGAGACCAGCCTGATCTACAGAGTGAGAGCCTATCTCAAAAGAAAAATTGAGGTCAGTCAAGAGAATTGTTCTGGGACTGACTGACTTTTACAGATAGGCTGCTTAGAGAGCAGTGCCCAATCCAATGAAATCCTGCCCCTCTACCTGTATTCCCAGGCCTTTGGAACCGTACCTTTGTATGGTGGCTCAAGGGGAACTGACAGCTGCTGATTAGCTGGTGGGTAATGGGTTAATATGTTAACTGTTTGCTTTAATTATATCTAGAGCAGGCCTGATTTACTGGCTAAAAATAACCTATAACAAAGCATTATCTACTTGGAGAGTCTAGAGCTAAGAAAGAAGGTATAGACTCCCCTATAACGCTGCTATCCCCAATAACCATTTTCTTTATTGTCTCCTTACCCTTCTTTGCTCCCATCAGCTAATAATCCATCTGGGATTTCTATAAACAGGCTCTGGCTGGACAGGACTGCGTCCCAGGAAGAGACTTTCACCTCGGTGACCTCATACTGGAAATGGACGATGTGAGGCTTCCCATCGTTCACGGGGAGGTCCTGGGTTACAGTGAGCTTCTCGTCCTGAGAAGGAAGGTTAGGGCAGAGGACAGGCTCATTCTACATGCTACATCCTATGTTCCCTAAACCAGAGGGTGCTGCCATCCCTTGAACCATTCTCGGGGTGGCATGGATCATGGGGCATGTCAGAAATACAGACCTCCTTGTGAGCCCACTGCAGCCATTTCTAAGAATGGCTGCTATTGGTAAAAGCAGCACTTGATTGGGAAAGGAAATCTTTACTAAGACAAGTGCTAATAAGCACTGTGCAAAGTACTAGTCATGTATTAATATCTCCACCTTAAAGATGAGGTAACAAGGCAAGAGCAATTTAGTAACAGGCCCAGTTGAGATTAAAACCTAGGTCTCCATGCCCTGAAAGCCTATCAGGGCTTTCCCTTCCCTCTCTTAAGAGAAAATGTCAAAAACAAATGAAATTCCAGGACTGTTGGACTAGAGACTGAGGCAGGAGGATTATGAGTTAAAGGCCAGCCTGGAATACACAACAAGACCGTTTTGTTTTGTTTCTTGTTCTTTGTTTTTGAGAGAGGGTCTCACTATATAGCCCTGGCTGGCCTGGAACTCCTAGAGATCCACCTGCCTTTGCTCCTTCCTAAGTGTTGAAATTAAAGGTATATGCTACCATGTGTGGCCTAAGACCTTGCCTTTAAAAAAAAATTTTTTTTTTTTTAATAGCCAGGCAGCAGTGGTGCATGCCTTCAATCCCAGCACTCGGGAGGCAGAGCCAGGCGGATCTCTGAGTTTTAAGCCAGCCTGGTCTACAGAGAGAGACCCAGGACGGGCACCAAAACTACATAGAGAAACCCTGTCTCGAAAAACCAAAAAAAGAAAAACACAAAATAATTTTTTTACATGAACGATAGCTGCACATTGCAGTACACACCTGTAATCCCAGCATTCAGGAGTTAAAGTCAAGTCCTTGCACACAGAACTCAGATGCCCTATTAACTTTCCATTCCCAGCCTAAGAAAGAAGCTGGACCAGGTCCTGGGCCTCAATCAACAACAGATTAAAAGACAACAAATAGTACTAATGTTTTTCCTCTAGGATTTCAGAAAAGGCATAAAGCAGCTTCAGTTGAAAAAAGTTAGCAGTTCCCGTTTTCTCTTAGTCACCCTATCACCTCTAAGAGAAAACTAAGGAAAAATTGCAGGATTTGAGAGAGCTCAATGGGATCTAGAAGGCTCCACCCAAGCTTCTATACCCAAATCCTCCTTACCTTATATATTAGAGCTGAGAGAGAAGGATCCCTGCCGCCCCCTCGCCCACCGGGGATCTTCGACAGTGGGTGAGGGGCATCAGGAGCACCACAGAGGCCCTGGAACAATGTGCCTGCAGCACTGGAGCTGGGGACAGTTACTCAAAGGCAAAATACTACTGCAAGA